TAACGCATCCGGTCGAATAATCCTGATCGTTATCAAGGTCGTTGCATTTATCCGAGAACAGTTAAGCTAGATTCGGAGGAGGAAGGGATGAGGGGAACACACGCTGGTTTTCTGTGTCGCGTAATCGAAACCCATCGCTCGTCTACGCCATCCTACGCCGTCCCAGCCTCCTAGTTTCTGCTAGTATCCCGAATTCTCACGGCGTGATTCTCGATCCTGCAGCGGTATCGATGCCGTTCCATTTATCCTTTTTCGCTTTTCTGAGTTTCCCCTTTGCTCGGGATCCGAGCAAGTCGAATTACAGAGCTTTTAATGCTCGATACAGCTCTCGATACGGATATCTATGGAGAGTTTCGTTGATGGCAGGGGGGGGAGGTGAGCGTTGGAGCGATGCTAGATAAGCGTGATGCTGCAAACGAACGAGACTTCGAAGCGTTGGTAGTTTGTGGTAGATAAATGGCGAGATATTCCTCTCGTTTGTGTAATATAGAAATTTATATTATTTTTTTGTACTATTGTACATGTTTAATGAATATTATATCAATACGTGGCGATATATTGAGCAATTTGCTTGATAAAATATATTAACACGTGGATTTATATTTTATGTATTTCATGTTCCTCATGAATGAATTTGAAGTGTTTGTAGTAATTGAACAGAAAGATATTAGTTCATGTATGTATTGTAGTAAAAAGAGAATTTGCTTAAAAATTACATGTATTAATAGTAGTGATGCGTCGAGCAATTTGCTTAATATGATATATCAACGCATGGAATTATATTTTATTTCATTCTCTTGTATCAGAAGAGAGAAATTAAGAAAATAATCGATATAATATTTTGATAATATTAATGAGTAATTTTTATTAAATTTTTGAAATAATTTTCGTTCATTATACACTTTCCACAGTCTATAAAAATATTTATAAACGATCTCTATTGAAATTATGACGATCAATAAATAAAACGATTGGATTCCATTTTTAATAATTTTTCAATAATATTTTTTAATAATGGTTAATACCAAATTGCTGTTCTATGCAACACTAGGGATCGGAAAGGTTAAGGAACTTTTAAACATGGATCATAGAACTGTTTTCGAAAAGTTTCTGTTCTTTCATTACGAATCCTGACGAGAACAGATGAATGTTTCGACAAACAAACAAAAGTTTCAGACGGGATAAAACATGTATAAAAATACAAATTGCTCTGTCGATGGAACGGATAACTTGCTAATGTTGAGACTGAATACCGTACGATGAATAGTAAATATAAATATAAAAATGGATTTCTAATTAAACGTTTCATGAAAACACTATTCGAAAGCGTTCTTAAATGCAACACTTTTCTCTTATAAAAATTCTACAAAAACCGATTCGAAGAGAATTCCTTTGACACCAGAACTACCAAAATGGTCAAAATGACGCCAAACAGTGTATCTTTAGAGATTCAAATAATTTTTCATAAAATAATAAACAAAATAATTAATAGAAGCTTGTGTGCGCTTTATTATATCATAAAGTTTTCTATATTTTTTTCTTTTTTTACCTTTCACATCTCTGATGGAAATTTTTATTACATTTTAATAGTAATTCTAGTGTTAGAAACGAAAAGCACCTGTTAATTTCATTCCCTCTGCAACACATTTCGTCGTTTCTACGTTCGTATTTTCATCTACAGCTACTAAATATCAACCATCTCATCAAAGACGCTCTAAACGAACATGACATTCCTCTATAATATACAAAAACGACCGAAAGCAACAGGATTGAAAGACGAAACCGAACGGGGCGATTATAAAATTCCAGCAAGCCAAAGGAGAATCTCCGAGAACGTCTCGTTCTGCGCGATTCTCCGGGAATGTTTGCGCAACGACGGCAGTTAGCGATAATTTTCATCGGTCTTTGCTAAATAATTTTCATCCTGGAATTTCCTTCAGGTTCCAGCTTCTTCGTTTTGGCTACCGCGTCGTTCAGCACGCGCGCGCCACTCTGCAAGAAAGTAGAAAGGCTACGCGCGCTTCCTCGTTCCATTCTTTCCTGCTTCCTTCGTCATTTGTTCCCTCCAGCCCTCGGTCATCTTTTTTTTTTTTTTTTTTGCACGTCGTTACCAGGTACCTGTTCATTGCTGCCTATTCCCCGGTTAATTCGCTCTCGCCGGAGAGAACACTCGCACTCTCGAGCGCGAAACACTTTCAACCCTTCGTCCCTTTCTGCCGTTCATTTTTCGTTCATTCTCTCGTTTCGTTACCCTGGTTACGTTAGATTGACGTGGAATCAGTCCTAATTTCCAAGGAATGTTGGAATATTTAAAGACATTCTTCTTTCGAGTGAAGTAGTCACAGCAAACGTTGTGAATAAAAAGTGGCGTTAACTTGGGAACCACCAAAATGGTAAGAAAATGATCAATTTGTAATTTCCAAGGGAAACAGTGTATTTTTGGAGATTCAAACGATTCTACGTAAGCTTATATACTTCTTTGTTTTATTATAATGTTTTTTTTTCTTTTGCTTCGATGTTTCTACTGAAACTTGCTTGATGCTTCAATCAGAGACCGAATTGGTATTACGGATATTGGTAAAATACAAGAATTTTTAGATTACTATTCGATTATGTAAGATGAAACCGAAATAGTGCGAATACCGGTATGATGCTATCAAAACGATGTTAAGTCGGTACATGTATTTCGGTATAATACCGGTAAATAAAATATTAATATATTAGAAAAAGAAAAGGAGACAATGATTAAATTTTCATAAAACTGCCGATAGTAAATTTGATGACGCTTATACACGTATACTTTGTTTATTTTTATTAGCTTTTTTATTAATTTTTTTTATTTTATTTATATTAGCGGCTAGCAGATGTTAAGGGCTATCTAACAAAATATTAATTATTGTTTATGTTAACAATTTTCAGGTTCAAATATTGTAGTTCTTCAAATGTCCGAATATTTTTGCCACGCTACATTTCGACATAGTTCAGTTTATTGTTTGATATTAAGAAAAGTATGTGTAATAAATAAATAAAATTTATGTTACTATAAACTATAATGAATGTTCTATTATATTATTAAAAAATTAATCCAAAATTTACTATTATAAACAATCGAAATCCGCAACAATATTTTGAATAGCACGATGTCCGAATATTAATAAGAGTCACTGTACGTAGAAAACGAAAAATGTGTTTTCGTCAGTAAAGCGGTACCGTACCGGTATATATTTCGGTATTTTTACCGTTGTGGAAATCAAATACCGATAAAATACGTATGAAAATACCGGTATGACCGTCTTTTACCGGTAATAAAACCGATTTCCCAAATAGCGGTTATATTACGATAATATGGGAGCAAATACCGGTATAATACCTAAAAATATTTCGGCTCTATATTTAGTCTCTGGCTTCAATCGTTTATTAAATTTGCGCTATAAAAGAAAAACTGTTGCGAACATGTTTTAAATTCATAAAAAAAAAGAAAGTAATAACAAAGTAACAACACTTTGATTTTCATGATATTTTCCCTGTACAGTGTAGAGAGGATTTCTGTAAACGAAGAAAGACAGTATACTTAGTTGTAGACGCAACAGGGTCTCGATTTTATATTGTAAATAATCTTCATTTCCCCGCTCGACTACGTGTTCGTTCTCGGGGAAGAGAGAAAATATCGAGAGTTCGCAGGTTAATGTTGCGAGGGAAGTATGTGACACGATAAAGGATCGCGCTCGCATCCTCCCCATGGAGCAGGAGGGGCTATTGACTTCTGATATTCACCCTCTTTTCCGCCTCGTAAACACGCCGCCTCTCGGCCGCGAAAAAAGAACTGGCGAGAAATGAACTCGGCGCGCGCGGAAGTGACGCGCGAGAAGGGTGTGTCATTTGCGAATTTATTTTATCGAGTGGGTGTGAACGGCTCGCCGAGAGACTCCATCACGGATGAATGTGCCAGCCATGACTTGCCATCGTCTGGCAATTTATTTCGCGCCTACCTTAAACGTATGTTTCCTCTCTCATTATCAAGCCGTCGATCGATATTTCTTTGTCGATCTCTGTCGTTGCCGATGACACGCAGGGCTATTCATTTCGCGAACGATGCGATTTCGAACTCGCGTCGAGAAAGGAACATTACGCGGAGAATATTCTTTTGTTACATTTAATGGAATAAAATTTTCTTTCTCTCTCTATCTCTCTTTCTCTTTGTGTGTGTGTGTGTTCGGTTAATGTATTATGCATTATACGTTCGTCAGATAAATTTAATATACGAGTGGACAAATTTCAATGCCCTCTAAAAGTGTTATAAACTTTTACGATGAAAATGAAAATATGGATGCAATGCAGGTGAAACATTTCAAATGGAAAGTATATACTGCAGGCTGGACAAACGATCGATTTTTCACAATAGTGCTTTTAAATTCGGTTCAATTTCCGCGCAAAGAAGCATCTTTGATCTCTTTGTCTCTCCCCCTCCCCCCCTTCCTGTAAATTTAAACTGAGCGAATTGAATAAAATCTCGTCGAAAGGAAGAAACCAAGTGATCCTCATTTAAATTTGAACGCTCTTTAGGGGCCATTACAAATTTCATGAAATCGAAATACCGAAAAGTAGTTAAATCATTGAAACGTGGAAATTGCACGTGAATAACTGCAAATTCTACGAGTGATCGATTTTGAAGTCTTTCGAATTCACTTCGATTATGCAAGGATTGTTTCATTACTGTTTTTTAATTATTTTATCCCACGTTTCTCGCAGATTCGAATCGAATGGTTTATAAACTTACGGAACACAGATATTAAGTGAACTTTTCACTGTGATTGAAAGAAATTCGCCATTTTCGTCTGCGTACGCAGCGTAATGGTTGATAAATGTGCAAACGTAGAAAATGCCACGATCTCGTAAATAATACGCTAAGATGAATGTTTATCGTCGCACTTGAAGGGATCATTTTAAATTTGATCGTATTTGGAGCAGCTTGATACATGTTTTGCATATTTACGTTTCAGATGGCACCTGATGTTACGAGCGAAACGGGGCGGCCTCGTATATCGCGGGGATCTTTATATACGCGCGTGGCAGCTGCAAAGTGAATCTCGTCGTCGAGCGCATCAACATCAAGGAAATATCTGCTTCTCGGTCAGTCATTTTTATTTCTATTTGAATAACGTGCGTGGTGAATATCACGCGAAATTGAGTATCAAAGAATTACACAGAGAATTGCGAACGACGAAAGTATTCGCACGCTCGATGAAAAATTATCTACATTTTAAATTCGTATAAAATAATTATCCAATATTAGTTTCGTCTACTTTAAAATACAAAGTCTCCATATTAACAGACCTAGTTAGTTTTATTTTAAGAAGTCTTTCTCGAAGATTGTCTCATGTAGCAAGTGAGAAAGCAAGGATTAAAATTTCCTTTTCGAAAATTTTAGAAATTCAACATGCCTCTGAAAATATTGCGAAACATATTTTTTCATTGTTAAATTTACAATGATCTTCTCTTTACAACAATCTCTTAAAACTTTCTGAACTTTAAACATTAGAGTAAAATGATGAAAAGGGATTTCTTGAATTTTTATCATTTGACCCTAACGTTCGATAAACATGGCAAAAAAATTAACACAACAGATTTTATGGGATCGATATAAAGGAAAGACTTTAATCATCAAGATTATAGTGGATCCGGTCGTGAAAAAATTTTTTAGTGATTTTTCAAAGACGTTTGGATTTTTACAGTTTTCGGCAAAAGTATTTTTGCTTTTCCATCTGTTGCATGATTTATACCTTTTGAAATAAAGAACTCGATTGAACAAGACTGAGTAAATATTGCACCAACTGGATCAACGTACGATTTTGTTTCACAAACAGTTTGAAACATCGTGTATGCGAATACGTAAATCGAACATTTTGAAATTGAACATCACATAAATTACGTTATTCTCAATTTATGAAATTGTATATAATCACGATTATTTTAAAATCAATGTCCTCGAAAGTGAAATTCTGACAAAATCTTTCATATCTTTTTCGTTGACGAGAATTCACCCCACTCTCGATAAAGTGACGAACAAAAAGAAGTTTAAAATTCGTTTATTGTAATTAGAAATTAATCGTTGCCTGGAAATAATTTTCAGATTAATTTCAAATTGGAAACTATTCTAGCAACTATTATAATGTAACTATCGCTTTTGTGAAACATAACTGTACATTGATGATGGTCTTTAACTTTCAATTTTTCTTTTACTCGCCACCATGTACACAATTGTAATAATTACACGATAATTCGATAATATTTCAACAATATTATAAGCAATGAATTACAATCTTTTTTTACACAGTGTTTAATATATTTGCGGCTAAAGATAATACGAGAGTAGACGAGTGTAAACAAAGCTTCTTAAAAGCTTTGTCAGAAAAAGTTACAGGAAAAATAAGAAACGCGAAAAAAACGATAATGCCCTTGCTGTTAAGACAACGCAGAACGAAAATGGACAAACATACGTTACACATCGACACAGGCTATATTTACCCGAATGAATATTTTATTTGTCGAACAAATTGAACGGCACACAGCTGATAATATCATCATACCTCGAGCACATAAAACCAACACGCGACTCGATCATTTGGACAAAACATGATTCGTCTAATTCACTACGTTCAATTTGGCAGATCTATAGGAAGACAGGGACGTCTCGCTTGTCTGAAAATACAAGTCCACTCCCTTCCTGTTGCACACTTTTTGTTAGACACACTTTTCTTACACATTTGAGCAACTTCACGATAAATCATCCACGAGGACTGCCACGTTTATTTTCCCTTTCTGTTACAATCCGTGAAAATACATCGTCAAAGCTGGTCGCAGCAGCGTGCGCAAAATGAAACAACTATTAACGACGCATCGCTACGCCGCGCCATCGTGTTACACCGATAATTAATCACTCGCTGGCAATCCCGGTGCCGCGCTACCCCCCGGAACTGAAATTGTAAAACTTTCGATAATAAAATTTATTAGTTTCGTCGTCGAACGTCGAAATTGCCTACGGGGCGAAGGAACGCGACACGATCGAAAACGACTGCACAATATTAATACTTCTATTAAGTTTCCAGACCTCTCGACGTTCATCCTACTTTATGACCCTTTCCCTTTGATCCGCGCCTTTCAATATTTCCGCCATTCTTTCCGCGACGTTCGCTTCATTTCACGTTTCGTAGCTGAGTGTCTCTCTCTCTCTCTCTCTCTCTCTCTCTCTTTTCGTTCTCTGTCCGTGGAAAACGCCGCGATAAAAGTAGTTGAACAAATTAGCGGGAGGGGAGGGGCGAATACCACGAGCCCAGTCCGCACTTCCGCTCCCGGTTGCCTCTTAAACTCTTTCGGAGATTAATTGAGACTCTTCGGTCACGTCGTATCGCTATAATTCTAATTAAATAGATTCGGCTCCGCTCGGTCTTACTTCTCGTTTCGCCGGTTTCGTTCCAGTCGTTAACGATTCAACTCCGTAGAAACTTGCCCATCTCGAATCGATGTCTATTCCCTTTTTCTTCTTCTTCTTCTTTTTCTTTTTTATCCTGTCACAGTTCTTTCTCCTTCCTGTTCATTACATCCTCTTTACTGTTTCAACGTCCTTCCTCTTCCCACTCCGTAAACACCAATATTACGTACTTTTCTGTTAGTTTCTGTGAGTTGGCGGTTATTGGTATCGTTATTCGAAACGCGAAATATTGACAGCTTTATGAAGAGCGAAGTTGATCAATTCGATCGTAGCTTCGAAGCAGCGAGTTGACGAGTTGGTAATAAATTGTTGGGAGTACGGTTGATAATTATCGACCGATGAAACACGCGGAGCGATGGGGAATTTTTCGTTGAAATTAATTTCCTTAAATTGCAGCAATTAATTAATAATTACTGCAATATCTCGTGTTAAATTAACGATAAACGACGAACGCAGGGGAGAATTTGAATTTACGAGCAAAATTGTCTTTGTCAGTTTGAAAGCAATTTTAAAAGAAACAATCTGCCATGGCCGTGGAATATTTTAAGTTCCTTCTAAATGCGAAAAATTCTGAATGCTGACGTTATTCAAAAGAAGCAGCAGTATTCAGATTGATCCTTTCGCTTCGTCCACGGTAGCAAAAGGGTTAATTGTTAACCTGATCCTTTTCGAGCTGAAAGTATCTTGGCTTGAGAGTCTTGAGATTAACAAGTTGGTGATTTAGGTCAACAGAGGGGCGAGGCCCATGGGTATCATGGGTTTATCACACGTTCATCGCGACAGAGTGTACAGATGCCACGTCCCACAAGCCCATACGACCTGCATAAATGCAGTCTTCCGAGTCCATAAAGTAATTTCCAGACCCTAACTTTTGGCTCTAAGGATCCATTATACAGCATGGAAAGTTTAAATTAATCCGCTTTCGAAAGTAGCCTTGTCCAGCATCCTTCTTGTTAAACATCTGCGATATTAATAGCGTTTGTGCACTTAATCAATTTTGTCCCGTATAACGTATGAACTTCATTCATATATTACATTGGCCTCGAACTTAACGCTGGAACCACCGGCGACTGAAACGTAAAATTTCCGTCGAAGATAGAAAAGCTTCGTAATACAATAAATTAGACAGAGCTTTGATTTATGTATATATTTTACGAAAAATCTCTAACGGTACGCTGCTCTCTGTTTATAAAGTTTCTAAGGGAAATTGAAAAATTTTACAATGGTCGTTTTGACCATTTTAGCAGTTCCAGTGTTAAATATAATTATACAGTGGTGGACAGAAAAAAATTCAAGAGGAAAATGGCAAGAAATTATTTTCTAAAATGGATCTGTCTTTAACGAGTAGATTATTGTTATTAATATAACTTTCACACCTATATTTCAGATGTTTACAGAATCCATTAATAAATATCATTAATAGTATAATTTTATTTTTCATCAAAGAAACGTGATTTTGTACCAATGACAATGAAAAATCATCCACAATTTAAACTGATATTAACCATTCTCTTTAGCTTGTCATTTAATCCTAATGTCCCAAGTTCAATAAAATAATTAAAAAAAATTGTACAGCGAATTTTAAGAACTCATTGTAAAGAGAAAATTTCAATCTTCAAAAACATCGTGAATTAGTCGCGATGAAAATTTTTTAATCTTTCTACACGCATTCACGAATTTTTACAGTTTCCGAGGTTGAAAGTATCCTTACTGTCTCACCTATAGCTACAATCCTCGAAAAGAACTCACAGTTACGAAATCAGTAGCTTCTCACTTTAAAATAAGAACCAAAAATGAAACTTACGTTAGTCTAAATTATCGACAATTTTTTATCGTCGTTGAAAAATATAAAATTATACAATTCGACGTTTAATCAAAAGTCGCTGTTGTTCGACAGCTCGCATAGAATTGAATAGATTCTCCCGCCTTTACTTTAGTGTCATTTATAGTCTTCAGGTAGCATCCTTATTCCTTCTAGAATCCTGGAAGATTCTCCGAGGATCTTTCGTGTCTATTTTTCCTTCAACGTGAATTTCATGTACTACTCGCTATTTCTCTATAATAATATTCAATTTTGTATTCAAATTACGTTCGACAGTTTCGTGCAAACTAACTTAGTCGCATCGAGACAACGAAAAGTCAGAGGCGTCGATCCGCAGACGATCGACAATCGAGAGCAATGGAGTGAGGGGGGGGTAGTCTCTTGAACGCGTGTTCCGACGCGTGTACACTCGACGAGGCGGTAAACGTCAAGGCTTCCCCTTCAAACATGTCGAATTGTCTGTTGCAGGAGGGCGGCTGTTCGACACCGCGTGTCGCCAGCGTGTCAGTGCAGCTGGAGCAGGACAGCAACAAGTCAGAACAGCTGGAGCGAGCGCCCCGTTGCAACGTACGTACCTGTAGACAGTCGAGAAAGGGAAAGGCACGTGTGACCGCTCCCGCCCTTCTCGTTCAGAACCTGCTGGAGACGCTCTAGCTCGCCAGGCTCTTCGACTAACTGCCCTTCTGTCTAAACGTTTCTCGTCCTCTCGCCTCGAACGCCAACAGCTCCGCGAGTTTCTGCCTACCGAACAAGTTTCCGCGTTCCCTCTCGCTCCTCGAGTCGGAGGCTCGTTCGCGGTCTCGGCTCCTCGTTTTCGTCGCGTCGTTTCGAAACCTTGGAAACGGACGAAAGGAGAGGAAACGGAATTGAGAGACGTATCGCGACGTTTCGGCCGAATTCTGGATTCATTCGGGTTCGGTTACACAATATTTTGTATTCTTATTCTTTTCTGTTCTTCTCTTTCTTACACTACAGTTTTCTTGTTACTTTTTTATACGTTAGTTATTTCTCTTATTTACTCTTATTTACGTTAAATATCTTTCAAATTCCATATTGTCCACGAGCACTTGTACTTAATATAAATCTTTCTTCGCGTGAATCTGTGCAATTAATTTATGTAATTCTCTTCTCTGATGTGATTCTTCCTTCGGAAATAAAATCGGCCGAATGGACCCAGCATATGGATGGATGCGTGATTCGAGATCTGAGAAAGTATCGTGAAACCACGGATGTGCAACGAGGATCGATTCAACAATTCGCGTTTCCGTCTAAGAAACCCGACGAATTGTAAGTATATTCGTGCAGTTTGCCTCGTGCACGATCTATCTTCAGGCGATACGAAGCGAAGTGAGGCTCCATCTTCGAATGAAAACGAAAACAAGGCGATTCGAGTCTTGCGATGGTTTCACACGTGGACGAGCGACTGATCGGCTGATTGGTTATATAGTTACTACTACCGGTAGCATCGAGGTGTCTCTAATCAATTATTTGCTGTACTTGGAGTGTGCTTTCGACGTTCTCAGTGAAACAGTGCTCGCGACGCTACCCGACGTAGCCGCGTTTCCTCCGTGTAATTGTTCCCCTCGCGATCGAGGGGCATCTCATCGAGAGAGAGAGAGAGAGAGAGAGAGAGAAAAGAAGAAAAAAATCGTAAAAAGGAAAGACGAGTTTCGAAATGTGCGACGAAATTCGAATCCGAACACGGATCGAACGAGAGTCGATTTATTTCGAGGAAATAAAAACTCAATCCAGAGAATCCCTTGATGATCGTTCTTTTCTTTTTTTTTCGGGGACTACGTGAATCGGCGAACTACATACGACAGAATGTATACGGAAGCATCGTTGAAGCTTCGTGCACGATCGATCGACAACGAGAATTACATGCACGCGAGGGTGAATTCTGATCTGCGATCTCCTTTCGCGAAAGCGGCGTTTCGAAGAGTATTTTTCTTTCTCTACTTCGTTCCTACGAGACAGAGCCGCGTACTTTCGTAGGTAAATAACCTCGACGAAAATGGAATCGACGCGCGATCGGAGGAAAACCCTCGGCGAACGCGTGCACGACGTTGCTCGATTATTTCTCGATCAATTGCGATGACGATGGTGGACGCCGATTAACAAGGAGCCAGTTGGTCCTTGAGGCGCGTACTGACACTAGAACGAGCGAAATTGTAAAATTTGAACTATGAGGAGTAAGAGGAAAATGTTCGTTATTTTTGATGACTCAAAGAATTGATCGAACCTTATTCCTTTTAAATTTCTGTTAGGGAAAAAAGCAAGTAAAGGCAACTCTCTCAACTGATTCTTAACGAAAGCAATTTAAATTCAACAGATTTGTTTTCCTCGTTTGAAGTCTGAGTCACTGAACTTTAACATCATTCAAATCTCTAAAGATATCCCAAATTTCCAAAAGATAGTTTCTGTTAGAAAATTATCGGCCATTTCGAGCCAGTTTGGTGGTTCTAGTGTCAGAAACTCGATGTCGATTACAATCGTTTCTCTGCGCGTGTTTCGTCCCCGATCGCCGGACACGTGGCTCTCCGCACGCGTTTAATTACACGGTGCCAATATTTAGCGTTTAATCGAACGTATCGGCGTTTCTGGCCGTTTGGCTTTTGTAAGAAAATCGTGTATGGAAATATTGCGTCGACGGAAGAAGGAGAAAAGGATAATAATGATGTACGTCATTCTTCGAAGAGCTTTGTTCGGCAACGTTTCGAACGTTCGGGTAAAGCGCGATTTCTGTTTTCTTTCTTTTTCCTCTTCCGAGAACAATTTCATTGTACATAATGTAGCTAGTAAGATTTCATTAACTACGAGAGATAATAATTCAGCTGCGGATGTTTACGCGTTTGTGGGGAATTTAAAGAATGTACAGAACGCAACATTATGTAAAGCAATCAAAATTGAGTGCTTCTTGTAATATTTAGATTCCATTTCTTTAGTCACATTCATAAAAATATGAATCTCACATTCTGGGAACTCGCACTCGTCTTTCCAACGTTAGTATTTCATTTCTTGTGACGAATCACGTACAATTGTACAATCAGTTTTCGCAGCAAAACAAGTAGAGAGAATAAATTGAACCTTTTCAATTTCTTTATCCGCGCAGATCTCAGTATATTACAAATAATAATCCGCAGTTTAGCTATAAACGGATGAAACGGATTTAATAAGAGATGCGATGAGTCAATGACACGCTTGTCTCTTCGATATTATTTTATTCGATCCCTTTCGATTAAAGAAAAAAATGTCCGCCGGATTTTCAAAATTTGTCGGACGAGTGTCGAGAAACGAGAAGAAAATTTCAACCAACGGAATGTCGGAAGATTGAAGCAACCCGATCTGAAAATACTCTTCGACCTGGATTAAAGCCGGTCAGCAACATGCGGCCAATCAATCGGAGCTTCATTTGAAAGCTACCCTATGGGACGGCGAGTCGAAACGAAAGGGAAACTAGTTCCACGTTCCAGAAGCAAGGAAAACGAATCGATCGCGGAGAGCCGAGAGATTGTGCGTGGCCACGCTCTTTGGAAACGTCACCTTTAGAAAACGAATTTTCAATTAAAAGGAAGTTCGGACCGCGGCGAGTATGTCTTTCCCTTTCGACGTCGACGTGTTCGTCGCTCTTCTTTCTCGTTCTTTCCGTTGATCGCGTGCCCGATTCGTGGCCGTGAGTCGCCGCTTTAAACGAACGCCATGCCGTCGAAACGTTGCCAAAACGTTAATGGAAGACCAATGTATATACGCTGTATACTAACGAAACAAAAAAAAAAAAAAGAAAAAAAAAAAAGAAAAAAAAGACTCGTGAAAACATCGAAACGTTCGGCGATGCTTATTGAAAAATTCTCCATTACGAATATATTGTGCGTTCGAGTAATGATAATCCGAGTTGGATCTCTCACGCGGAATTTCATCAGAATCGGCCGCTCTCGAGAGTGTTGGATGTGAAAGGGAGATAAGGAACGAATGCGTGTATGCGTGACAGAGAGAAAGAAAGAGAGAGAGAGAGAGAGAGAGAGAGAGAGCTGTATGCGATGTGGAAGCTTCAAAACAAGATGCACAAACGTGACGTGAATCTATAGACAACGTTTGCGTTGGTTCGTGTATACGTTCCATCTCCTCTCTCAGAGAACCCTTCCTGTTCAACCCCGTAATATATCCCTCTCCCTAACTCCCCTATTTCCTCGTCGAGAATTTTCAAATCGGAGCACGTTGGTGATGAAACAGAGGAGACTGTCATTGGCCAAGCGGCGATTTGCCTCGCGAAACTCCGTTTCCGAGGATCGATCTCGTTGCGAGATCCAAGCAACGAGATCGCTGGTGTAGCCAGTATGGCCGCTGAAGGTCGATCCGATCGAGATGAAATATTTTTTTAAATGTGCTTGTCGCACGAGCGTCGACGTTGCTTCGGTTGAATCGTGTCGGTTGAGTGTTGCGTGGCTGATACATATTTCCTTTCTTTCTCTTTCTTTTTTCACGAAATCGCAATTTCGATCAGACTTTGCTTGGAAACAATCTCGGAAAATGTATGAATGCCTGATCCGGGCTGGGTTTCTCGACTCAGTTTGTAAACGTTTCTTTCCTTTTTTTTTTTTTTTTTTCTATCATCGAACGTGTTCTGAAATACACGACACAAAAAATATTGATGACACGTGAGAAAAGAAAAATTGATTTCTCCAGATTGAAGTCCGTATAGCGTATGAAATGTTACAAGATAAATATTGTCGTTAATAATTCTCAAACAGTTGATGCACGTTAAGCAGAAATCTTGAAAGGAAACGAACACGATCGAGTATTTAATAATTTACTTTGTGCGATCGATATACAAACGCAACGCTTGGCGTACACGCGACGAAATTCGACGCGAATGTCGTCCGCTTGATTCTCGGGAAACGAGATTGGCGTTTGAAGATTCGCGCGGAGTCACGAGTCAGACCGACTTGCCGGAGTGCTCTAAGAGAAAACTGACACGACGATACTTTTCATTGATGAAGAGAAACAGTGGTCGGCGGTGTGGTAATCGATGTAATTTAAGGATTCAGCTAACTCCCTTTGAGACGACGATGTAAACGTTATTTTATTATCGTAACGAATAGGTAACGAAGAAGTATTTATATAGTAATGCTTTACTACCAGAACGGTACCGAAATTGTTACAATAATTGCTCAGCGAGTAAAGGCGAAACAGGCGAGAGTTGTTCGTCGCTTATTGTGTACAGTACAACACGAATAAAAAGTGAAACCTAACCTTACCGGCATTTAAGATTTTTCAATCTTACGGGAGATTCTCACAATCTTTCTTTCGTTCTCAGTGTACTTTGTTGTGTTTCATTTTCCACGCAGGATCGGAAGCCTACGATTAGAAGTCAACTTGAACGAACTCACTTCGCGGAAAACGAAAAAGGGAAAAAGAAAACGAGTAAATGGGAAAACGAAGAAACTCGTGAAACACTTCTCACGCGTTTCTTATTTGTGAAACGTGCGAAAACCGGGGAGAAAATCCGATAATGCATCGTGAGGTTCGTCGACGGATCGCCAAACCAAGTTCAGTTCCTAGCCAGTTTTTCGGGGAATACAGAGTTCGAAACGATTCGCGGAGAACTAGCTGTCGCGTTACTCTCGCATTTTCATTTCCCGGCGAAGTTTCTGATTGGCAGGGTTCGACTGTTCCATCGGAAGAGTCGATCGTCATTGGAACTCTATAACGTAGACGAACGGAGACGAGATTCCGTGTCGATCTGACGTCTCGCGATTTTCACGATAGTTAAAGAACGCTTGATAAGAAGAGAGGTTCCTTTCCCCGCTCTTCTTTTACCTTTCATTTTCTCCGAAACGAGTATTTAACGCGTCGCGTCGATGAGAATCTGCGACGTAATGTTAGATTTATAACAATTAGACCCGAATTGAATAGAAGTTCAATGGCGTTCCTGGAATTACCAAACTGATGAAATGAATTCGAATTTCTTTTCGTCTTCGAAAGTGTTCAAATACGCATTCGGCGAAATATACGGTGGTGAAATGAGTGTTGATTTGAAATTGAAACGGGAACACACTTTACCTTCGATATATTATTTTAATTGAAACGGAGAGTGTACTTTAGTTTCAATATATTACTTTAATCGTGATTATTTATACATACAAAGCGCGACAGTTGAGTGGTAGACGAATAATTTTCACTATAAAATTTTCAAAATATAAAAATACCTCAATTCTGATTCTTACAGCACGAAGAAGCGTATTTTTGAATTTCGTGTATTCACATTCGTGGAAAAATTAAAAATCTACGATACCATACACATCCCTACTGGAATTTTTATATTTCAACAACGAGAGATCGAGAGAATATTTTCATATCGAGAATAATCCAAGAAAAAAAAGAGAGAGAGAAAAAAAAAAAGAAAAACGCAGTAGAATGACATCGCGCAGAAATTAGAAATTAATGACCCTTTCACTCTCGAAACGGTTCATTGACAAATACCGATTCGAAATCGGGACCGATTAATAGATCGTGGTACAAAAGATCGGCGTGGAATCGAGTCTGCACGTGGGCCGTATATAATTAGCCGCAAAACTTGATTAGTCTAGGTTATTACTCCATAGACCAGTTTATACATCTAATTACAATACGTTATTGCGCATATTCATTGTGAATACGAATGCAATTATAAATTATCATAATAAAGTGTATGTTTATATACATGTACGCGTATATTCGTTCGATTTATGTTCGGATATCCGACCGTCGCCAATATTGCCGATCTGTCTCCCCTCTCCTCCCGCCACCCACCTTCCACGCAACCCTCGTCCTACACGTGCCTCATCAATTATCCAGTTTTAGTCCGTTTAATTACGGCCGCTTGGTTAAAATTGCGGTTTCGACGATCGGGACGGGACGGGACGAATTTGTGGATCGCTTTCGTCGCGATCGGCCAACGATATTTCGACATGCAACGTTGTCCGACCACCATCCGGGGATTACACAAATCTTGTTGGATCTGTCCGGCAGATTCTGGTGGCGAAACTAGACATCGTTGTCTGCCCCGCTCAATTGTTCTCCCTATTTTTTGTTCTTCATGGATTGAAGCTCTTTAGGCGGCATTCATCTGTTTAACAGATCTGTGTGTCTCAAATCCGTTGATAATTTTATCCTCAATTACCAAGTTTCAACTCAATTTCAATCTGCGATCGATTTTTATTTTAATTAATTAATTTAAATTTCATTAATTTAATAGTTTTGGCAGATCGAAAATAAATCGTGAGCGCCGGTGTACATATTAAGAGGTCTCTTCTTCACTGGACTTTTTTTTTTACTTTTATTCTCTTGTATTTCTATGAAATTTAACAGTTTAACAGTGTTAATTATCAAATGCTATATTAGAATAATTCGTTATTTTTTATACGAATTTTTGTTGATTTATGACGTCTGTGGATTTTCAGAGATTTATACGATTTTTCGTAAAGTATTTAAAAAGTGTATTAAAGTATTAAAGTATTTAAAAAGAAGAATTTAAAAGAGATTTAAAATACGATTTATTCTATTAAAAGTCGCGTTATATGAAATTAAAGTCGTTTCCTTCTATTCAGTTTACATACAATTTTTATATTTTTTTCAAATAATTAAAGAACGGAAAAATTTCTGCACGTAAACGATGCTGAACATATTTCCTCATAATATAACAAATACGAAATCACCGTTGACTCTGAGTCTCGATGGAAACAACAGAGTAGGTTGCTCGTTTTATTCCTGATTTCGTTCTTTTGCTGTTTGAATCAAGGAAAGTTACTGACTAGAGAAAAGAGCGCGTTGTATTGGTCTTGGCTTCGTTGGCTAGCGTCTGACCTCCTAAAGATTCCCGTCGTCGAAGTTTCGCAAACACTGCACAGTTTGCTTCATCAAGAGCCAGCTGACATGCTGAAACTGTGAAAAGTCAGCAGGAAGAGTTCCTCCGATGTGGCAATCATTCAAGAGCCAAGGTCAATATCATTAAGCCGGCCCCGATATCTACCCGAATTCGTTCAATAATCAGAGTACTATTGTACTTTGTTTTTCATGACAACATTTTACACGATTCTTACTTTTCTTTATGTCTTTGACTTTCAAAGAATTTAGGACATTTAATGTTTCTTTCTGGTATGAACTATCGCAGATTATTTGTCTTTGACAAAGTAAAATTTTTATTTCAGTATAAGTCGTTACATAATCTGACGTATCAGGTAAGTGATTCAATTTCATTATTTTATTTGTCTATTAATTCATGATAATGTGCAATATTATAAAATTTATACCCTACGACGAAATTCGTAGAAATTATCGAATTTGTTAGTACATATTTAATGCCTAAGTTGAAGTACGATGTTTGGAGGATTAATTTATTTCTAAAAAAAAAGAAGAAAAAATTAAATTATATTCAGAAATAAAATTATTGTATATTAAAAGAGAATTTATATCCTATGACAATTGTTATACATTCAGTTATAATTTATTTCACCCATAATGAATCAAATCACTATCTTTATCATTCCTTACCAAAACGAATCTGCAATTTGTATTCACCATTTGTTCCACTGAATCGTGTCCCGTGCAATGGCACAACTAATTGTTATTACTCGCTGATCATATTTCCGCTTCATAGGGAAGCGAATTCAATGATTCAAATTTCCACGCACATATATCCGACAATATATAACTGACAACATCGATCCACCTTTATTAATTGTCATAATTCATGACCGAATTATTATCATGCTCGGTCCATTAATTCTCTGACATAGAATATCGACTACATTAAGCGTATTTGTTCACGCAGACTATGAGAAGCGTATCAACGATTCCGTTAATTTATGTTTTACGCCGTGCTAAAACCGCGGATATTGTCAATGATGGCATTGAAATGTACTTATGATAAGAAAGAAACACCTCGAACCTGTTAAATTATTGTCAATATATTGTTACTCGAATTCAATAACAATACTTCATAAAACAATCAGATTTGCATGACGAGTGGGGAAACGTGATAACGATGATCAATTGTTTTCGAATTTAACAACAATTCGAATGGAAGTATGCAAATATATTGAAACTTTTGATCGTCGAGTGTCGAGAATTTCAAAATTTCTTCAGAGAGAAATAAACGATCTCCCCTTATTTCTTTTTAAATTCAAGCTCAAACAACAAACGGACGAATCCACAAAATATCTGAAACCATTCTTTCTCTCTCTTTAAATACTTAACGTTTCAAATATTTGAAATGCAACAAACGTGCATTTGGATTCTCTTCGTAAATATGACAAAAAACCGGAGGTTTTCCAGTGGAACAGAGGGAGAAAAGAGGAGCGGATCCACGACGACGAACATCGCTTCGGATAAATCCAGCGACGTGTCCAATTGGCGTGCACCTGTGTACACCTAAGGGAGAGAGAAGGCTTGCGCAGGTGGTGGCGAAGAGTCGATCGTCATTACGCCTGGTTCACAATGGGGTACGCCTAGGTAGCGAGAGACGACACCGCTGCGAAATAATAGAGGCCACCCGCAATGCAGAATTTTGGCGAGTATGGTAAGTATCGTGTAATTTTGTAACGGTAATTGCCGGCGGTTTAGCTCGCCGCAATTGAAATAACCCTTATTTCGCTGGTTGTGCGCAATCCACCGGCGAAAACGTCAGAGGAGGACGAATACCACGCGGTTACGCCCTTCAACGTTCCCCCTCCCTTGTCTCTCCCTCGAGCTATTCCACCCTCTCCTTTCTCTACGTCGAGGAACCAACATTTAACATTTTAAAACATATTTACGGACAGAGAACAATTGTAGTATACACTGTGCTTTGCACGTCCAGCGAGAACGATTTGAAAACGCAAGCGAATTGTTTTATAATGAAAAAATTTAGATTCCATTTTAACTCCGTAACTTCTGTTCAAATGTATAGCGTTCATAAGCAAATGTTCAAGGAAATTTGTTAACACTTTGTTGGAAAAATTGATCAAGAATACGATTCTCTTAATGTATTGTTTAAACGAAAGATTTTTTTACAAGTCTGTATACACCATTAAATTCGTCGTTAAAAAACACTTCAATTTCATCAATGTACATAGAAACAGTATCTTCAATAATTTCCGAAATATTTAACAAAATATGTTTCGAAACCCCAACTTTGTGGGTAGCTTTCACCCCTTCAACATCGACCGCTGCCGAAAAAAAGAAAAAAAAAAAAAAAATGCGGGTCAAGTACGATTTTTTTGATTGAACGAAT